ATGATCATAACCAATATGGCTGTAGGCTGATCATAACCAATATGGCTGTAGACTGATCATAACCAATGTCGCTGTAGGCTTATGCATTACCATTGTGGTTGTAGGCTGATGCATAACCAATATGGCTGTAGGCTGACCATAACCAATGTAGCTGTAGGATTACCATAACCAATGTAGCTGTAGGATTACCATAACCAATGTAGCTGTAGGATTACCATAACCAATGTAGCTGTAGGATTACCATAACCAATGTAGCTGTAGGATTACCATAACCAATGTAGCTGTAGGATTACCATAACCAATGTAGCTGTAGGATTACCATAACCAATGTAGCTGTAGGATTACCATAACCAATGTAGCTGTAGGATTACCATAACCAATGCGACTGTAGGCTGACGCATAACCAATGTGGCTGTAGGCTGACCATAACCAATGTAGCTGTTGGCTGACGTATAACCAATATGGCTGTAGGCTGACCATAACCAATATGTCTGTAGGCTGACGCATAACCAATGTGGCTGTAGGCTGAGGCATAACCAATATGGTTGTAGGCTGACCACAACCAATATGGCTGTAGGCTGACCATAACCAATGTAGCTGTAGGATTACCATAACCAATGTAGCTGTAGGATTACCATAACCAATGTAGCTGTAGGATTACCATAACCAATGTAGCTGTAGGATTAAGATAACCAATGCGACTGTAGGCTGACGCATAACCAATATGGCTGTAGGCTGACCATAACCAATGTAGCTGTAGGCTGACGTATAACCAATAAGGCTGTAGGCTGACCATAACCAATATGGCTGTAGGCTGACATTAACCAATATGGCTGTAGGCTGACATTAACCAATATGGCTGTAGGCTGACATTAACCAATATGGCTGTAGGCTGACATTAACCAATATGGCTGTAGGCTGACACATAACAAATGTGGCTGTAAGACGTCTCACGCTCTAACTCATACTCATGACCAATATTACCAATATTACCAATATTACCAATAGGTCCCAGCAAGGACATGCCACCTGGGAATATTGTAAGAGGGAATATTCCAGCATTGAGTTCAGTGGAAATATTGTAGGAATATATGGAGCAGGAATATTGCATCTCACGCCAGCATCCCGACATATGAGATGTGATTTGCATAGTGATGCAATCATTTACAAATATGTAGGTTTTCCTGGGAGCATCGCACCGCTCTGAGAGCATGTCGGTCAAGCGTGTGCTTAGGGATGGTAACCGAACCTCTGCGTAAATGTTTCGGATTATTTCGTTGCAGCTCAATAGACAGGGAATTCCATCTTCACCTCACACTACCTCTCATCACAGGAATCATTCTCAATCTTACTCTGTCTTCCCACACTGAAAGGTTTTGTGAGGTAAGCCGCTAGCGTCTTGCCTTCTATTGCGAACAAACTGACCTGCTGCTATCTGATACAGGATACATACGATGACTACATATTTCAAGTGTGAAGTAATCCACTGCCTGGCAAAACCAAGGCATTTGGACGGACCCAAATGTCGTCAGTTTCATTCTATTGGATATGCTGGCGCGGGTAATTATTTTCTATATATTATGCAGCTCGTCCTCATAAGGTTCCCTAACGACCAGAAAACGGACAATTTAAATTGGTGTCTCCTAACCTACCAGAAGATCCATAAGAGAAAACGGGACAGTACGTCACTTTCGCGAGGCACTTCCTTTTTCTAGTACGAAAGTTGTTTACCTTATGTGACGCATATGGTCGAAAAGCAATGTTCTTTGTAAGAGAACAGGTTGTATGATGAGGCATATGATAACCAATGGACTTTAAACATTTATTAAGCATTTGAAAATACAGAAGTAATAGACCTCGCAGAACTGATGATGACAAGTGGAAGGATACTTAATGTTCCACTATGTCTAGTTTTCCATGTATGCCGACGTCAAGTCATCAATCCTGCCGCTTAGGCAGCTTGCTGTTTTGGCCTTCAGTGTTAGTTCTTTTTTAATTATATACTGTGCACCCCTACCTGTGTGTGCTGTGTCCCATATAAGAAAAAAACAAATACAAAAGAATTTTCCATTTAATGTTTGTTTGTTTTTCAGGTTATTATTGTGTGTTATTAGTATCATCTTAACTCTAATGGGTTGTGATGAGATCTGCCATTTATGTGTATTTTAGTTTGTGTTTGATAGGGAATTAAGTATGCTTAGGGGTGCCTTCTCGCCTTGCCCTGTGGCTGGGGGGATTGATGCCCTGAAGCTACATAAACACCATATACCCCCCCCCCCCCCCCGAAGTGGCAAGGGAAGTTAGGGGACAACAATAATGTCTTAATAAAGACGAACAAGTAAACAAGTGCCGCAGATGGTGGACATTTTGGTTTTCTTTTTAGTTACAACTTTACTCGAATGGTTTGTTTCTGGTTTGTTCTTAAAGTTGTTAATATGTGTTGCGAGCAGGTGTTTTCCTGCAGGTCTTATGTGGACATACATGTGTAATGATACACGTGTAATGATATATATGTAATGATACACGTGTAATGATATATATGTAATGATACATACGTAATGATACACGTGTAATGATACACGTGTAATAATACATGTGTAGTGATACAGATGTAATGATACATGTGTAATGATACATGTGTAATGATACAGATTTAATGATACAGATGTAATGATACAGATTTAATGATACATGTGTAATGATACTCGTGTAATGATACATGTGTAATGATACAGATGTAATGATACAGATCTAATGATACATGTGTTATGATACATGTGTAATGATACATGTGTAATGATACAGATGTAATGATGCAGATGTAATGATACAGATGTAATGATACATGTGTAATGATACAGATGTAATGATACATGTGTAATGATACACGTGTAATGATATATATGTAATGATACATACGTAATGATACATGTGTAATGATACACGTGTAATGATATATATGTAATGATACATACGTAATGATACATGTGTAATGATACATGTGTAATGATACAGATTTAATGATACAGATGTAATGATACAGATTTAATGATACAGATGTAATGATACATGTGTAATGATACATGTGTAATGATACACGTGTAATGATACGATGTAATGATACAGATGTAGTGATACATGTGTAATGATACATGTGTAATGATACAGATTTAATGATACAGATGTAATGATACAGATTTAATGATACAGATGTAATGATACATGTGTAATGATACATGTGTAATGATACAGATGTGATGATACAGATGTAATGATACATGTGTAATGATACATGTGTAATGATATAGATGTAATGATACAGATGTAATGATACATGTGTAATGATACATGTGCAATGATACAGATGTAATGATACAGATGTAATGATACACGTGCAATTATAGACGTGTAATGATACATGTGTAATGATACATATGTAATGATACAGATGTAATGATACAGATGTAATGATACATGTGTAATGATACACGTGTAATGATACATGTGTAATGATACAGATGTAATGATACAGATCTAATGATACATGTGTAATGATACATGTGTAATGATACATGTGTAATGATACAGATGTAATGATGCAGATGTAATGATACAGATGTAATGATACATGTGTAATGATACAGATGTAATGATACATGTGTAATGATACACGTGTAATGATACAGATGTAATGATACAGATGTAATGATACAGATGTAATGATACAGATGTAATGATACAGATGTAATGATACATGTGTAATGATACAGATGTAATGACACATATAGTTACCGCTATTCTTGCGGGAAGCTGCTGCTAGCTCAGTTATCATGCATTTCTTATCTTTCACCTCACGTTACATTATGTCACCTCACACCATGTCATCTCACCTCACATCATGTCACCTCACCTTACAGCATGTCACCTCACACCATGTCATCTCACCTCACATCATGTCACCTCACCTCACAGCATGTCACCTCACCTCACAGCATGTCACCTGACACCATGTCACCTCACAGCATGTCACCTCACATCATGTCATCTCACCTCACAGCATGTCACCTCACCTCACAGCATGTCACCTCACATCATGTCATATAACCTCACATCATGTCATCTCACCTCACAGTATGTCACCTCACATCATGTCACCTCACCTCACATCATGTCACCTCACCTCGCATCATGTCACATTATGTCACCTCATCTCACATGTCACCTCGCCTCACATCATGTCACCACACCTCGCATCATGTCACCTCACCTCATATCATGTCACCTCACCACACATCATGTCACCTCACCTCATATCATGTCACCTCACCACACATCATGTCACCTCACCACACATATCACCCCACCACACATATCACCTCACCACACCTCATATCACCTCACCTCACGTGGTTATGCTTCAATGTCAAGGAAACTTCACTGGGCTGGTCCACAGGTTATGAGTGAGGAGCTGCCATCTTGGACTGAGGGTGTGAAGTCAGGTGAACATTAGACAGGTGAGGTGACCTCACCTCACCTGTCAAGTCAATCTTAGGATATAGAGATATGGTATAGAACGGAGGGAAGGAATGGCAGGGAGATATATGACAACAAAGAACTGGGTTATGAGTATAAGGGAAGGGAATTATCAGGAGAAAGTGCCAGGCCACTACGACTATATAGCGCTTAGAAGGAAACAGTAAACATATGAGTGGAAATGGACTCAAGACAACACAGATGAGGAGTTGTGTTCATGGTGGTAGCAGAGTGTTGCTGTTCTATGAAAAGTGTGAGAGTTTAGAGAAGTGACTGTGAGTGTGTGAGTCGAAGTATGTTTGGGAGTTAGTCGCAAGTCAGATAGGTTAGGGTAAGGTAAAGTTAGAGTTCATTGAGTAACATTGCGTTAATGTAAGGTTAGTTTGGGGTAGGCTAGTTGAGGATGGCTTGTTATGTTCTCGTGCTTCGGGTCTTTACGTCTGGGATGTGACAGTGTGGGTCATCTTTTAGGTGCCAGTAGTACACCGTGTTGAATATATGGGAGTGGTTGGGGGATGTGTTGTGGGAGAGTGTGATTGGTGGATGTATCGTGGGAGAGTGTGATTGGGGGATGCGTCGTGGGAGAGTGTGGTTGGGGAATGTGTTGTGGGAGAGTGTGGTTGGGGGATGCGTCGTGGGAGAGTGTGGTTGGAGGATGTGTCCTGGGAGAGTGTGGTTGGGGGATGTGTCCTGGGAGAGTGTGGTTGGAGGATGTGTTGTGGGAGAGTGTGGTTGGGGATGTGTCCTGGGAGAGTGTGGTTGGGGGATGTGTCCTGGGAGAGTGTGGTTGGAGGATGTGTCCTGGGAGAGTGTGGTTGGAGGATGTGTCCTGGGAGAGTGTGGTTGGAGGATGTGTCCTGGGAGAGTGTGGTTGGAGGATGTGTCCTTGGAGAGTGCGGTTGGAGGATGTGTCCTGGGAGAGTGCGGTTGGAGGATGTGTCCTGGGAGAGTGTAGTTGGAGGATGTGTCCTGGGAGAGTGTGGTTGGAGGATGTGTCCTGGGAGAGTGTGGTTGGAGGATGTGTCCTGGGGAGAGTGTGGTTGGAGGATGTGTCCTGGGAGAGTGCGGTTGGAGGATGTGTCCTGGGAGAGTGTGGTTGGAGGATGTGTCCTGGGAGAGTGTAGTTGGAGGATGTGTCCTGGGAGAGTGCGGTTGGAGGATGTGTCCTGGGAGAGTGTGGTTGGAGGATGTGTCCTGGGAGAGTGTAGTTGGAGGATGTGTCCTGGGAGAGTGTGGTTGGAGGATGTGTCCTGGGGAGAGTGTGGTTGGAGGATGTGTCCTGGGAGAGTGTGGTTGGAGGATGTGTCCTGGGAGAGTGTGGTTGGAGGATGTGTCCTGGGAGAGTGTGGTTGGAGGATGTGTCCTGGGAGAGTGTGGTTGGAGGATGTGTCCTGGGAGAGTGTGGTTGGAGGATGTGTCCTGGGAGAGTGTGGTTGGAGGATGTGTCCTGGGAGAGTGCGGTTGGAGGATGTGTCCTTGGAGAGTGCGGTTGGAGGATGTGTCCGATGTGTCCTGGGAGAGTGTGGTTGGAGGATGTGTCCTGGGAGAGTGTGGTTGGAGGATGTGTCCTGGGAGAGTGTGGTTGGAGGATGTGTCCTGGGAGAGTGCGGTTGGAGGATGTGTCCTGGGAGAGTGTGGTTGGAGGATGTGTCCTGGGAGAGTGTAGTTGGAGGATGTGTCCTGGGAGAGTGCGGTTGGAGGATGTGTCCTGGGAGAGTGTGGTTGGAGGATGTGTCCTGGGAGAGTGCGGTTGGAGGATGTGTCCTGGGAGAGTGCGGTTGGAGGATGTGTCCTGGGAGAGTGTGGTTGGAGGATGTGTCCTGGGAGAGTGTGGTTGGAGGATTTGTCCTGGGAGAGTGTGGTTGGGGGATGTGTCGTGGGAGAGTGATTGGGGGATGTGTCCTGGGAGAGTGTGGTTGGAGAGTGCGGTTGGAGGATGTGTCCTGGGAGTGTGTGGCTTCTTTGGTTTTCAGTCCAAGTGTCAGGTCGCTAGGTGGTTTGCACAGCTGGGGTTTCTTACTCTTAGTGCCGGTGGTCTGTGTATGTAGTAAGTCAGCCTGGGGAGTGACCAGGGTAAGGTGTGCTAAGTAGTTATTTAGGAGTCTGTCCAGTATCAATTCAGACAACCTGTATACTGCAATGGTAGCTGCGTTAGGACGGATGTCATTGTCTGTAGAAGTGGACGAGTGACAAGAGTTTAACAAGATCGGGACTCATTTGTACGTTTTGTGGGAGAGGAGTGGACTCTGGGGGAGCAGAATTGTCAGTGACAGACATATCAGGAACACGCAATGGTTGTAGTTGAGTGTGAGGTAATGGTTGATGATGGGCTGAGTAAAGTTGTTTCAATGCACTACTGTATTGCAGGTTGGTGGTAGGAAGAACCTTAGTTTTTGCCGCTATGTATGAAGGACATTGTTTGAATGTAATGTCATGATCGCCACCACAGTTTGTACAGGCGAGGGTATCTGACGCACAGTCTTGTGTGTAATGACAACCAGAGCATTTCCCACATTTGATGTCTTTGGTGCAGCCTTTCCAGGTATGGTTGAAACCTTTACATCTGAAGCACTGAGTGGAACGTGGCACGTACACCTGTAGTTTATGGAGGAAACTGTTAATTCTAACCCGATCAGGAAGAATGTTGTCCAGAGAAGTAAGCAGGGCAGTACCTGTATCACACAGTTCTCAGTTTGTTCTTCGCTTAAATATTTTAACTCCGAAGGTTGGAATGGCATCTGCCTGAAGTTGTGCCGTGATGTCGTCAGCACTAATGCCTACAACATGTCGGAGCTGCAACCTATCCTCCGAATTTACAGTATGTTTTAATACTATGTGTAATAAGTCAACCCGTTCTCGCAAATAAGTAAAGTCAGTATTGACTTATTAACTACGTGCATAGGTGATATACTAAACATAATAGATACCCTTAAAAAGATTCATAGAAAACACCGACCTTACCTAACCTTGTTAGTATCTTAAGATAAGCATCTTATTGCTTCGTAATTACAATTATTACTTAACCTATACCTATTATAGGTTAGGTAATAATTGTAATTACGAAGCAATAAGATGTTTATCTTAAGATACTAACAAGGTTAGGTAAGGTCGGTGTTTTCTATGAATCTTTTTAAGGGTATCTATTATGTTAAGTATGTCACCTATGCACATAATTAATAAGTCAATATTGACTTATTAAATTTGCGAGAACGGGTTGCAACAGTATATTTCCTGACTGCCATACAGAGTATATAATTGCACTTATGGGGCTGTTACATTTACCTTTCCTTTTATTCTCGTCGTTTTCTGTTAAATTAATAATTAAAATTAAATTAACGGGTTACATATTTCGCTAATCGGTCTCCTAGTGGATGGAAGCACCTGACTTTGTACCCAGAGAAGTCAGTAACGTCTGAAAGGTCTGGTTCCTCGCTGTGCTTGTGGTCCATTGCGATTAAGTTCCTTTGTTTATTTGGTCTGATATCGTGCGCTTTGTTCTTGAATATCTTGGGAATGGCATGATATAGGATTGTGCCCTCCTCATTCAGAAAAACTCCTGTCTTCGGACGTATTGTCATCAAATGGAAGAAGTTAGGATAAGGATTTGGGATTGGGTGGAGGGAAGGAATTGGGCCCAACCACTTGGACGGTCGGGGATTGAACGTCGACTAGCATGAAGCGAAACATTATGCCCAACCATCCCAAGTGGTTGGGCATAAGAAGCTGAGATATAAGATTAAAGAAGCTGGGATATAAGATTAAAGAAGCTGGGATATGAGAACAAGGAGCTGGGATATGAGGACAAGGAGCTGGGATATGAGGACAAGGAGCTGGGATATGAGGACAAGGAGCTGGGATATGAGGACAAGGAACTGGGATATGAGAACAAGGAGCTAGCATATGAGAACAAGGAGCTGGGATATGAGACCAAGGAGCTGGGATATGAGACCAAGGAACCTGGATATGAGGACAAGGAGCTGGGATATGAGGACAAGGAGCTGGGGTTTGAGATAAAGGAGGTGGGATATGAGACCAAGGAGCTGGGATATTAGGGCAAGAAGCTGGTATATGAGACCAAGGAGCTGGGATATGAGGACAAGATGCTGGGATATGAGAACAAAAAGCTGGAATATGAGAACAAGGAGCTGGGATATGAGAACAAGGAGCTGAGATATGTGTTACGGACCCGAGTCCAGCGTCCGAGCTCGGAGCGGCGACGACAACGCCATCTGTGGGTCAGCTCCTGAAACCCCCTCCAAATGGACGACGCCATCTAGTGAGGACAGGATATACCGGCCACAGGGGCTGGTTTCCCGTCCTGATCAGCTCATAACATAGCCGCTGCTGACCTCTGGTGAGGTGGCGCTTAGACAGCAACGCCATCTATGGAGTGGATAGGTGGACGTTTGTGTCTAAGCCTGTAAGTGAGGTGCCCTAGAGTGTAACTAGTACTGATGACGTGTCTGATTACAGAGTCGACCTGGGACTGCTTTATTGGATGATGGGTAGTCTATCCAAGGCAGCCGAATATTTCCACGAGTTTGCTGCAGAAGCTGTGAGTCACAAGGAGCTGGGATATGAGGACAAGGAGCTGGGATATGAGAACAAGGAGCTGGGATATGAGAACAAGGAGCTGGTATATGAGAACAAGGAGCTGGGATATGAGACCAAGGAAGGAGCTGGGATATTGGTGCAACGAAGGAGCTGGAATATGAGGACAAGTTGTAAGCTGGGATATGAGAACAAGGAGCTGGGATATTGAACGAAGGAGCTGGAATATGAGGACAAGGAGCTGGGATATGAATCCAAGGAGCTGGGATATGAGACCAAGGAGCTGAGATATGAGGACAAGATGCTGGGATATGAGAACAAGGAGCTAGGATATGAAACCAAGCACCTGAAGGAACCGCTCCCAAACACATTGATCAACGGGGGTCGAACGCTGGCCCTGTAAAAAGCGAGGCTGTGGCTCTCCCGACCAGTAATAGTGGTTGGGCCATAGTGCTCTTGTCACGAGTGCTAGAGCCCACATTTATTGAACACATGTTGTTACGATCACAATTCCGTATGATTACATGTTCGTATTGTCGGAGTCACTCCCATAAATAGTATTAAAATAGTCACGCCATAAACGTTAGATACATTGAAAATAATTCAACTCCTTAAAACTTCCAGTCCAGCATTATAAACAGTACAAAAAAACTGTTCTCCGTGACTGGAACAAATTAAATAACATGTAAAATAACGCTTCCCTGTCCGCGCTATGAGGCAGGCGATTTTAAAAAGCCATGGTGAGCCTCTCGCAATCAACTTATTAATTCTACTGAACGTGACATATCTGTGATAGGGAATAGTTGCAGTAGTTACAGTGTAGTCTTTTGGCAGATCTGCGGTGGTCATCAAGGAACTATGCAACATCTACCCATGGCAACAGCCGCCATAACTCAAGACGCTCATACCTGAATGACTGTCTAAACGCCCCATTCTTATTGTGAGAGTTTTTGTGACTGGTGAGAATTTGTGGAATAAATTTAAATTGGTATAAGGAACTTTAGCTCGGAAAATTTCTAAGAATTTTCTTTATTCTTTAACCTTTATTCCTGTCGTGATATTCAACTAGGTCGCCTGAGGAAGGACTTGCTTAGCTAACACACCAGTGTAGTAAACAGCTCATTCCTCACTTTGGGACCATGTATGAACAATTGACTAGGCGCGAGCAAACGCCGAGACCCCAATGAAAATTGAAATCCCCTCTCTTAGGTCGCTGACCTTCGACAATCGCCGAAGCGAATCTAACGAGTAAGTCAAGGGCTCTCACAACAATAATTTATTGTTGTGTGGTGCCGTATATTTGATCCAAAGCTCAGAATTAGTCTCAATTTTATAAGTCGAGTGTGAAGAACATTTGCATAACAATAATAATGTGTGGGGGTGTAACGAAAAGACAGTGTTAACCATAACAACTTAGTTTATTCAATAAAGTACTAACTACTACAACGAAACAAAAAGAAATGTCAATGACGTTACTCGAAATCCTTCCTGTGACACTATCAATGACAGCTAGACACCAGCCCCTCGGACTGCATAATGAACTAACTCGAACATAAGCGTGAACACAGAGGAATCAACAAGAAACAAGAACTAACAGATCTATAATCACAATTATAACAAATGACACAGTAGGTTCTGAAACACGTCTCCAGTAACCTCCTAACTGTTCTACGCCTCAGTGCAGACTACACCTGCAATGGCGGTTGCAATGCACTCAAATCAGTAGTCTTTCAATGACAACAATAACTAATGGGTTCACTGGCAACTCCAGCAACCCTTCCTCAAATTAATCCTTACGTTAACACTCCGTCCCACGGACGATCAACAATCAATAACAATTGATTTACGTTAATAACACAATAACATTTACGTTAATAACAAGGTAACATTTACGTTAAATTAATAACACTTACAACTGTCACTAGTAACGCGGAAATTACACAACACTCTACCCGTTGAGCATTCAGTAAGAAAATCCCATTAATCCCTGTACTACCAGACAGCTGATGAATCTCTTTACTAGTTACGTTAATTTACGTTAATCGGTTACTAATCACTCAGCGATGGTAAACTCTGATTTACAATGTCCAAAGTGCTAAGAGAACGGTAATCACTCGTGATTACCTTTAGAGTGCAGGCGATGAGTCACAATAACGTGGCTGAAGTATGTTGACCAAACCACACACTAGAAATTGAAGGGACGACGACGTTTCGGTCCGTCCTGGACCATTCTCAAGTCGATTGTGATGAGGACAGGTAGGGACAGGCATTAAATAGGCAAGAGAGAGCTGAGGCTTTTCCTACCATCCTCCTTCTGTTAAGAAAAGTGTCCTCGTCTCTCTCTTCCTCCGCGCTCTACGCATCAGCGACCCTCAGTTTCTTGATTCTGAATTTGCCTTTATCTACAAATCATTCTCTCGCCTTGGTTATCCTTTGCATTTCATCAACTGTGCCCACTCTCAAGCTAAACGAAATTTATTTCATCCTAAACCTGCTTCCAACACTAGTAGCACTGTACTATGCCTTCCCTTCATATCAGAACTCAAAACTTTTACCAATACCTTTCGTCCTCTTGACATTAAACTCGCCTTTCGACAAACTAACACACTTCGCAGCAATCTAGTTCACACTGCTCCTCCTGCTTCTAATGCTGCTGGTGTCTACTCTATTTCCTGTTCATCTTGTCCTCTCCAATACTTTGGCGAAACTGGCCGTACACTGAATGACAGACTTAAAGAACACAAGAGAAGTGTTAAGTCTGCTGACACTAACAATGCTCTCTTCTGCCATGTGAGGGATTCTAATCATCCCATTGATTGGTCTTCCTCCAAATTAATCTTTCCTGCCTCTACTCTACACAGACGCCGTCTTGTAGAATCGGCTCTTATTAACAATGTACCCAACATGAACTTGAGTCCTGGCTTTGTTGCTGTGGACTCTTCCCTTTCACAGTATATACTCAAATGCTCTAATCTTTCTAACAAACGTGACTTAACATAAGCTTTCCCCTTCCATTTCTTTCTTTTTCTTTCCCTTTCTTTCTCTCTTCTCCCTTTTTCTGTTCATTGTCTTCTACGCTCCCTTGCTATCATCTTCTTATTCCTATTACTATCTCCTTCGGTGGTTATAATAGGAGCTGCCTCGTATGGGCCAATAGGCCTGCTGCAGTTCTCATTACTACTATCCCCTACACCTGACTTTCCTCCTCAGCTCTCTCTTGCCTATTTAATGCCTGTCCCTACCTGTCCTCATCACAATCGACTTGAGAATGGTCCAGGACGGACCGAAACGTCGTCGTCCCTTCAATTTCTAGTGTGTGGTCTGGTCAACATACCTTTAGAGTAATTAATTACTATCCTCAAGATCAATAATTAAACAATTAAAATACGCAACCTTTCTCACTGGCTCAGCAATTTACATTAAGATATGAATTCCGTCTAAGCCTTCCATACTCAGACCAATTCAGGTGGCTAATAACAGTAATTAGCACCACGTTTACGCTATTCTAAAATGACGTTACTCCTCCACGAATCAATCAAGTGCCGGTACTTCCGGACAGATAACGACGTTACGTTAATGGAACAATGTAGCCTTCGTGTGAGTCGATCAAACAAGGATCGAGGTTAATTATTTTGACTTCCTGAAACACGTCAATTACCCGGCCCATTGACCGTTAATTACGACAGACAATACACTAATTCTTATCTGGCTGATGGCTAGGCTCCTCGAGACTACCGTAGCTGCTTGCAGGAAAGTAAATTAACCCAAACGTATTCTACGTTACTCAAATTGTCAAAGAACAAATTCTCTTAAAGCAATGGGCGTTCCCTTGGTTACGTTATATTAATTGCCTCGCAATCACCTCACTGAATACTGGACTTCGATGTCCTACCAGCTA